AAATAAAAAATAAATACATTTTTTAATTCATAATATAATACTACAATGTTGTCACTTTAAATAATTTATGTTGTGTAATAATGGATTTTTTATAAATATTTAAAAAATGCGATTGTTTTTTTAATATATATTTTGTATTGTAATTTTGTTGCATTCTGTCATTTTATTTACCTTTAAAATTGTTGTTGTTATTTATTTTGTATTTATACTCTTATTATATTTTGGTAGTTTTAAATAGTTTTAAAAATTAGACATTGTTTTTATATTTCAGTTAAACTTTTTTAATTTCAACTTAAATTCAACTTTTACGTTTTAGTTTATAAATAAATATTGTACTAATTATTAATATAAATATTTGATTTTAGTTACTCATACAATTATTAGTTACTAATCGCAATTGAGAATGATTCAAAAAAGCAAATTATCTTAAAATAAATAAATACAATTAAACAACAAACACTGTGCACAAATAAAACAAGCAGAAAGAAAGAAAGAATAAAAGAAAGAAAAGGATTAAACATACATTAAATTAATTCCCCCAAAAATTTCCAGAATCGTTTAGTTTAAGCTCATTTTAAGTATGGTATAAACAAACAGCTTAAACAAGCAGCAAATATATATATTCTTGATTGTAATTTAAGCATTTTAAAGGGAGGAAATACAAAAGAAAGCTGAAAGAATGAAAGACAGAAAGAAATTTGAGTAGGGAACAAAACTGTTTTTGCCAAGCATTTCAAAAGGGCTCAAATTCACAGTGCCAAGATGAGGGAAAACAGGGTGACTGCTGTTGATTTAGAGCGAAATCCCTAATGAGAAGCAGAGCTGGCGTCGTTTATTCAGATTATATTCTCAATCATTACTTAGATCAAACCTACAACCTTCAGACCATCAGATCAGGCCGTAAACACGCTGGATTTTAGACACAGACCCATACAAACTGACTAAATGATTTCAGACACAGCGCAACAGTTCCAGTCAGCTAGCGTGAAGATAAGACACCTCACGTCTTCACAGTCAGCATTTCATCACACTTGCAGGATATCCCACTTCCTGCGTTCAGCTTTATCACATCCTGTGGTCAGATAATCACTTCCTGCTGACCAGATTGTGCGAGTTGT